AATACATGGAGTATGAATATTGACAGTTGACTAAATTACATCAATATTGGATCTTGATTATTATATTTTAAATTTGTACTTTTATTGACTTCCCATATCATTAACATTTGCTGATAAAATTTTTTCGAGTCCAGTAATCAAGGATATTTATGAAAAATCGTCCACGTAAATTATTGAAACAAAGATTATTCAAAAGACTTAAATCTAAATCACATCACCGATTATAAGTAGAGAATGATCCCGAAACAAATAAGAATTCAAAGACTCACTGAATGAAACGACTGATAGCAAAACCAATCTTTGTTTGTGGCCATGGAACGACCTAAACCTAACCACCTACAACCAGCTCAAAAAATTCAACAACCACCTACAACCACCTCAAAAACATCTACAACAACTCACAAACTATGGAAAACTACCCAAAACATTTTTTTTACTATGACTTGTTTAGAAACAAATTAGCACGCGTGTCCGATTACAGTGGTAGCGCCTTTGATTTCCAAACCAATCGCCCCAGGTTCGAGACCCAGAAGAGTCGGCACTTCTTTGATTTCTATATTTACCAAAAAATAGCATTCCCAGAAATTTGATACAGTCAGCGGTTCCATGTAAACACGCGGGCTCATGTATGAGTTAGGCAAGGGAACGTGATTTTAACAGAATGAAAGTGGTTTTCTTACTAAAAATCTACTTATATACCGAAGTTCACGCTCTCTGAGCAGTAATTTCCATTTGTATTTAAAAAGCGACGCCTTTCTTTCATCTGACATATCTTCTTTGTATTGTTTTGATATACCCTCCAAAATCTTTCACACAGGAAACCCGAAATGCTTATTTTGCTAAAAAAATGCTTATTTTGCTACACGAAGAGACATGGGAGGTTACTAAGGTATAAACAGAGACGAATGGCGTGCTAGATCATGTAGAAGTACAAATGTCTTGTTTCTGCTCTTAAAAATCGACTTGGAMCTTCAAAGAATTGCAGCTCTTGGAAGGAAAATGGAACCGGTTTAGCCAAAGTGTTTTTATCTTTTTTTGGCACAGAAATGGAGCTTGGTATGTGCTCTAACGAATAAGATTTGCGGAGATGAAAAATCTGGTAGTTAAGACATTTTTATGAGGACCTCAACAACCGGATGTACAGTGTTTATAGGTTGTTTCTACAAGGAAAGTATGGCGGCTGACGGCTATTTTGATGAGTACTTTAATTTGATTTTGGAACCGGTTTAGGACTTCGAAACGGCTTATTTTATATCGCCATATCATAGACAATACATCAATCTTTAAAATACGATTTGCGGAGAATGTCGAACATCAATAACAAAAGAAATATTTGAAGATGAATAAAGTATTACACACATTTCATTGTATTTTATTGCTCATTAAAATGCTGCGAGTTAGTCGACCAAATAATTAATGCGCATGCGTCGCGCMWTGTTGTATCGAATTTCTGGGAATGGATAAATTTCAATGAAATATAGCATAGGGAAACCAGTTACGGAAAATTAGTGAATAAATTATTATAAAACAATTAGAATAAAAATATATTTCTGAACACAAGTAACGTACTTTCAAGTTTACAGGAAAGTGAGTGAGTGAGTGATTGAGTGAATGAGTGACTTCATGAGTGACAGATTCGTCCCCCTCCAATAACTCTTCGATTGCTTTGCAATCTTCGAGTTAAAAAGCCCGGTTTTCAACAATAAACTCTACACGGAAGAATCTTTACTTTGAA